AATCAATTTAGGGGGTGATGTAGGCACCTTAGCTCACTTCTCCCCTTAATTTCCCTCATGCTCTCTGAAAAGCCTCATCATAACTCAAGTGACACTTTTTCAAGTTCCCTCTGAGGACAATCAGCAGTAGTGTGTATGTGTGTGTGTGCATGTTCGTATATATGAGCATGTGTGTGAGTGTGTGTGTGCATGTTCGTATATATGAGCATGTGTGTGAGTGTGCATGTGTGTGTGAGTACATTTGCTTGTGTGTGTGTGTGTGTGTGTGTGTGTGTGTGTGCATATGTGTGTGTGTGTGTGTGTGCGTGTGTGTGTGCGTGTGAATGTGTGTGTGTGTGTGTGTGTTTGTGTGTATGTGTGTGTGTGTGTGTGTGTGTGTGTGTTTGTTTTTGTGTTTGTGTGTATGAAATTACTCCTGAAGTGTGTATCTGTCTGTGTGTGTGTGTTCTGTGCGTGCTTGTGTGTCTGTTTTTTTTCTGTTTATCTTGTCTGGTGTGTGTGTGTGTGTGTGTGTTGTGTGTGTGTGTGTGTGTGTGTGTGTGTGTGTGTGTGTGTGTGTGTTAGTGTGTATCTTCATGCATCTATGATACATTAGATAATGTGTGTGTGTGTGTGCGTGCGTACGTGCGCGTGTGTGTGTGTGTGTGTGTGTGTGTTTGGTGGTTGTTGTTGTTGTTGTTGTTGTTGTGTGTCTGTGGTGTTTTTGTGTTTTAGTGTGTGTCTACATGCATCTATGATACATTAAATTATGTGTGTGTGATTTTGTTTGTAGTGTTTGGTTTTTATGTGTTTGTGTGTTGTTGTTGTTGTGTGTGTGTGTGTATGTTTGTCAACAACCAAACACACACACAACAACAACAACAACAACAACAACAACAACAGAACACACACACACACACACACACACACACACAAACACAAAAATAAACACACAAATTATGTGTTTTTAGTGTTTGATGTGTGTGTGTGTGTGTGTTTGTTATGTTTGGTTTTTTATTTTGTTTGTGTGTATGTGTTTATGATGTTTTTAGTGTTTGATGTGTGTGTGTGTGTGTAGGTGTTTGTTATGTTTGGTTTTTCTATTTTGGTTGTGTGTATGTGTTTGTGGTGTTTTTATGTTTTGGTGTGTGTGGGTGTGTGTGTGTGTCTATACAGTTGATAATTAGCTGTGTGTTTGTTTGTGTTGTTTACAAGCATCTATAATACACTCTGTAATTGTTTGTTGTGTCTGTTGGAGTGTGTAATGATTAGTTTTCTGTGCGCAGAACAAATAAACACACGTCCTCCTGGTAGTTCAGAATGTTCTAGAGCAGGATGTTCTGTCAACCGCGACTGTGTTTGTGTGTGTGTGTGTGGTTTGTACTGTATGTTCTTCCTCTGGTTTTACGGTTTAGTGTGTGTGTGTGTGTGTGTGTTCTCTCAGTGGTCACAGGTGCACACAGGCCCTCAGTCTCCTCCGCTGTCACACGCATTGAGGTTTTGATTGACAGCTTCAGGAGGAAGCAGCCATTCACTCACTTCCTGTCATTCGCTCTGAATCACGCTCAGGTGCGGGAGGGTTTCCTGCGCTTCAGAGAGGAGGTGCTGGAGCACTGCTCACAGGTGATACAAACAAACACACATACACACACACACACAGGTTGTAATAACTCTCCCCAAAACCTGTTTCCCATCTTTCTGAATGACACGCCTACTTTACTACAGCCAATCAGCTTGGAGTAGAAAAACAAGCCACGCCCACTGTCTTCACACACAGATTTAAAAATCCGTGTTTGTGTTTGTGTGTGTGCGTGTGTGCGTGTGCGCGTGTGTGCGTGTGTGCGTGTGTGTGTGTGTGTGTGTGCATGTGTGTGTGTTCAGACAGTGCAGTCTGCGTGTGTGTGTCTATATGTCTGCTGTAGGTAATAATGTGCGTGTGT